CCTCACTGCTGGCGATGCCCCACGCTGGCCACGGAGCTGCAGGGAGGGCACGGAGCGTGCCACGCCCAGAGCTCTGGGAGACACGTCCTGCCAGGAGCTGCCCGAGGGATGCTCCCCCTTCCCCCCCACCCGTAGGAGTTAGTGGTCCCTTGCTTCTGTCACAGAGCGCAGCCCCGCTAGGAACGCTAGATTGTGGTGCCCCCTGGGTGCCCCGAACGCCTGCGGCCCCAGGAGAGCCCACCAGCAGCACGGCTGGCGCTGCAGGGCAACGCCGCCCGCTAGCGGGACGCAGCCCATCCCGGGCCCTGCAGGGGCCCAGCGGGGTGGTGCGGCAGGGCTGCACTGCGGAGCCGTGGCAGAGCTGGTCGGGGGACTGAGGGGCAGGGATGGAACTGGGGGGGTGGGGAGCAGCGGTGGCAGGAACTTCACGTTTCCGACAGGTCCTGTCCCCTTGCACCCGGGGCCCTGCCGGCGCTTTCACTAGCTCCCTGCTGGCTTTTGCTGCTGCTCCTCTGGCTCTTGCTGCGTGCCAGGGCGCCCGCTTCCTTCCCCTCTGGTGGGGCCTGACAGGAGGGAGCTGTGGGTCAGGAGCAGGGGGCAGCCACAGAGCAGCGGGAGCCGGCAGCTCCTGGGACGGGAGGCAGCCCGCGTGCCCGGCCCCTGCTGACAGCACGCAGGCTGCAGCCAGGCTCCCAAAGGGGCTCAAATTTCAGCGCGTGCCCTGCCCCAGGCACGGAGGCAGCAGCAGAGTTGCAGCCCCGGGGCCCTCAGGCTGGGGGCAGCAGGGGGAGCACAGCCCCCGCCCTGAACCCCCTGTTCCCAACTGGCTCGGGAGCTGGACTTCAGCAGCCGTCCGGCCAGATCCCTGGCTACACCCTTGTGTCCGGCCAGGCTGCCACCCACCAGCGCCTCCTGCCCCTTGGCTGTACCCAGCACCATTCAGCAGCTGGCTGGGGGCGAGTCACCACTAGGCAGTGCTGCTCCAAAGGCAAGGAACTCCTGGCTGAGCCCCAGAGCTCTGCCCGACACTGAACAGCTCCCGGCCCGGGATCCTTCCCTGCAGACTGTGGAGCAGATCCCGGACAGCACTGCTGCCCCTCCGTCCCCCGCGGGCACAGTGTCAGGCTGGGGGCGCTCACCTTGGCACCTTTCTCTCCCACGGTGCCTGCTGGCCCTCGAGGTCCAGGTTGTCCCTGTGGGGAGAGAGACAGCCATCAGCAACTCCCTCTGCTTTCCCCGCCCCTGAACTCCAGACTCCACCCACTTTAGGAGTCTTTGGCTCCCTCTAGTGGCTGGTCCTGGTCATAGGTTAAGGAGTCTACTACTGCCGCTGGCTAACAGGGCCTTGCGAAGAGGACTAAGGAAGTTCAGCTGACAACTCCCACCAGCGTTCGCCGGGACATGGGCACCCAAGTGCAGCATCTCAGGCGAGCTCGTTAGCTGGCAGCAGTAGTAGGCTCAGGCACCTAGTCCATGGCCCAACCTCAATTCTTATCTCATGCGACTGCAGCAAAGTAGCACGTGTGGCGTCAGTGACCACAACCTCCTAGCAGACAGTGCACCTCAGGTAGCACAGCCCGGAGTGACCCCCTGCAACACAGGGCTGTGTCTGGCATCGTAGCCCCTCGCACGGCGTGGCACTGTGCGCCACTAGTGCGCAACACGGCACAAGACCCCTGCTTCTTGGCTTGCTGTGCCCCAGCACGGCAGGGAGCAGGCTCCGTACGCTACGGGCCATACTGGGAAACTGGCCCCGTTTCAGGACATATAAACAAAGTATCTCTCAATGATACGACACGCTGGGCAGAATAGACAGGGCCACTCAGGGACCCGAAACAGCAGCAAAACTTGGTCACATTTGTAAGTCTCTGCGCAACATGCTGCATGGAACAAAACCTCTTCTCAGCCGCCCAAGCAGCCCCGGACTCCTCTCCCTTTGCCACAGGGGCTGGTCCGTGGGCAGGGATGGTTGATGGAGGGGGAGTCTCCAGTCTCCACATCCCCACCCCCGGGGGATGGGCGGGGGGGGGGGGGGCGTTTTTTTTGGGGG